AAAGGGGGGGGGGGCGGATAGGTTTGTTTTTAGGGTTTGGGTTTTCTTTGTTTGTTTTGTTTTTGGGGGAAAAATGAAAAAATGAAGAGGGGTTAGGTATTGGGGTTATGGGGCGGACCGGGTCGACCTGTGTGGAGATGGACCGGGTCATGGGGAAGGTTGGGTATTTGTTTGGGCCTGTGGATTGAATTTGAAGAAGAGGCCAATTCCGATTTTCTTTATATTTTTGCTCTCTTTTCTTCTTTTATTTTCTAAAACTAAATTTTAAAAATCCTTAAATTATTATATAGAACTAAATTAAGTTATAAAAGCGCAAATTAGCTCCCAATAACAATTAACGCACAATTAAGTAATAATTAAGCATAAAATTGTACGATTGGACATTAAATGCTAAAAATGCAAAAGATGCCTATTTTTATAATTTTCAACTTTTGTAAAACAAACTTAATTACTAACAATTGTAGAATTAAATCCTACATGCAAAAGGCGACATATTTTGTATTTCTTTTATTAATTTAACAAATAAACATGCGCAGACAAATATACAAATAATTACGCAAAAATACCACAAAAATTCAAAAAATTGCACACCAAGGAAAAATTATTTTATTTTGAATTTTTTGGGAGTAATTCTTTCATAGGGCAAAAATCATGTGCTTACACAGTGTGGTCGCATTTTCGATCACCATATGGGCAATTTTTTTGATCCTTTTTACGGCAACTTTGCGGTCCACGAAATAGGTTTGCGATCGAAAACTCAATCACATACTTGCTTTTCATCAGGACACCTAGGGTTCCAATTGCGATGACTTTGCAGACCGCAAACCAATTATGCGAACCGCTAAAAATTGTCTTCTTCAGTTAAAAATGATAACCTCACTCAGCACAGAGTTCCTAACACTCAATTTTTATAATTTTCCCACAAATTACCCACCCAGATCCTCACATCAAAGGTTTGAGAAGAAGGGGAAAGAGGGGATTCAAGTACATGAGATTATTCACATAATTATGAAAGAGAAGGAGGAAAATGATGTACCAGATGTTTGAGCAATTTAAGAATCGGTTATGAGATGTGAACGAGGTGAGTTCTCTATGCAATTCCGATCCTCTTTGTGTGATTGTGTATGTTTTTTGTCTTTGCTTTTTCTTCTCTTTGTTTTTGTGTTTTTGATTTTGTGAGTGTTGTAGAGTACTTTTGTGTGAATGAGAGTGAAGGTGAGAATAGCATGCGAAAGGGGTTAGGGTTGTGGCGGTCAAGTGAATCACATAACATATTATGAGGTCTCATATGTATTATGCGATGGTTTAAGGACTGGGTCTCTCAAGATTAGTCTGCGACGCGTTCTGCGGTCGCATAGTTGTTATGCGGGCTGCAGAAATGGAAATCTTACCGCATTTTTGAGGACCCAACTTGCCATTTTTTTGATTGTGTCTATGACCACTATGCAATTTCGCAAAGTCATTACGTGACCTCATAGTTGCCGCAAACTACGAAACCTTCTTTTCTTCATTTACCTCAGTCCTTGCACCCTATTGCATTGTATTTTGAGCTACCTACATTCTAACACACATGTCAAATTGCTCAACACTAAAAAGTAAACCTATAGAAATTAAAAATCTAATAAAAGATTGTTACCAAACATGGGTTGCCTCCTAAGAAGCGCTTGATTTAACATCACGACACGATGATGTTGACCCCATTTAGACTACTCAGTGGTGGGGGCTGGTGTAGGACTATCCTTGAGAGCAAATTGTTCTATCAAATGCCTTTTTCCTATGGTACCGAGGTAATGCTTAACTCGTTGGCTATTTACATTGAAATTTCAAGTTTCATCCTCCGACTCCAATTCAATAGCACCATAGTGAGACACACTCACAACTTTGAACGGGCCAGACCATTTGGATTTGAGTTTGCCCGGAAATAACTTGAGTCTTGAGTTGAAGAGTAAGACTATGTCTCTGGATTTGATTTCTCTCTTCAAAATCTTTTTGTCATGAACAAATTTCATTCTCTCCTTATACGTAGCTGCACTCTCATAGGCATGGAGAAGGAATTCTTCCAATTTATTGAGTTGTGTCATTCTTAGGTTAGCAGCTTCGGCATAACCAAGATTCAACTTTTTCAATGCCCACATGGCTCTGTGTTCAAGCTCCACTGGCAAGTGACACGCCTTACCAAAAACCAACTGGTACGGTGAGGTGCTAATGGGTGTCTTAAATGTTGTGCTATATGCCCACAATGCATCATCTAGCTTCTTTGACCAGTCAGTCCTATTTGCATTGATAGTTTTTTCTAGGATGTTTTTGATCTCTCTGTTGGAGACTTCAACCTGACCACTCGACTGAGGATGATAAGGTGTGGCCACCTTGTTCTTTACGCCATACTTTTCGATCAGCGTGGTGAAAGCCTTGTTGCAAAAGTTATAACAACCATCACTAAGGATGGCCTTGGGATACCAAACCATGTAATATATTCTTCTTCAAGAATGCGGCCACACTCCTTGCTTCATTGTTGGGCAAGGAGATTGATTTAACCCATTTGGACATGTAGTCCAAAACCACCAAGATATATGTCATGCCATAAGAGCTCACGAAGGGGCCCATGAAGTCTATCCCCCACACATCAAAGATCTCAACCTCTATTACAAAATTCATAGGCATCTCATCTCTTTTAGATATTGAACCTTGTCTTTGGCATTGATCGTATGCCTTAACCATTTGAATTGTGTCTTGGTAGATCGATGGCCAATAGTAGCCACATTTAAGCACTTTTGCCACCGTCCGGTTTCTTCCATGATGACCCCCAACCGGGGAGTCATGGCATGCTTTGAGAATTGGCATTACCTCATCTTCCGGAACACATTGCCGAATGATGTTGTCGGCACAAATACGGAACAAAAAGGGTATCTCCCAATAGTATTGCCTACACTCCCGCAAGAACTTTTTCTTTTGATAAGCTTCCAATCCATCGGGAACAAGGTCAATAACCAAAAAGTTAGCAATGTAGACAAGTTCTAGAAAATGCCAATATGTGCTCATCTGGAAAGGCATCATTGATTTTCAAGGTCTTCTTTTGGTCTCCTTGCCTCTTCAAGCCTAGATAGTTGATCTGCAACTTGATTTTCTGTCCCTTTCTGATCCTTGACTTCAAAGTCAAACTGTTGCAACAAAAAGACCCACCGAATCAATCTTGGTTTAGCATCCTTCTTCGCTGTAAGATAGCGAAGAGCAGTATGATTGGTGTAAACTATCACTTTGGACCCTAACAAATAGGCCCAAAATTTATCAAAAGCATATACAATGGCAAGAAGTTCTTGCTCAGTCACGGTGTAACTCATTTGAGCGCCATTGAGTGTTTTTCTTGCATAGTAGACATGGTAAAGGATTTTGTTATGCCATTGACTAAGCACTGCCCCAATAGCTACACCACTAGCGTCACATATGAGTTCAAATGGAAGGGACCAATCGGGCATGACAATAATAGGTGTCGTGGTGAGCTTTTCTTTCAATTCCTCAAAAGCCTTGAGACACTTCTCATCAAATATAAACTTTGCATCTTTTTCAAGGAGCTTGCACATGGGATTTGCAATTTTTGAAAAGTCTTTGATGAAATGCCTATAGAAACCGGCGTCCCCCAAACAACTTCAGACACCTTTTACTGATGTGGGTGGAGGAAGCTTAGAAATAATTTCGATCTTTGCCCGGTCAACCTCTATGCCTTGTTTGGAAATTTTGTAGCCCAAAATAATGCCCTCTCCACCATGAAGTGGCACCTCTCCCAGTTTAGCACAAGATTTGTTTCTTCACATCTCCTGAGCACTTGTCTAAGGTTGTCAAGACAATGCTCAAAGGAATAACCCACTACAGAGAAGTCATCCATAAACACCTAATAGGAAATCTTACACCATGTCTGAGAAGATTGACATCATGCACCGTTGAAAAGTAGTGGGGACGTTGCATAGCCCAAATAGCATACGGCTAAAGGCAAAAGTCCCATATGGGCATGTGAATGTTGTCTTCTCTTGATCTTCCAAGGCGATAATGATTTGGTTATATCCGAAATATCCATCCAAGAAGCAATAGAATGACCTTACCGCTAGCTGATCAAGCATTTGATCAATAAAAGGCATAGGGAAATGGTCCTTGCAAGTAGCACTATTTAGCTTCCTGTAGTCCATGCAAACTCTCCACCGGTGACTGTTCTCATTGGGATGAGCTCATTTTTGTCGTTTTGAATCACAGTCATGCCTTCTTTCTTTGGCACACATTGAACTGGAATCACCCACGAACTATCAGCAATAGGGTAGACCACCCCGGCATCTAACCATTTGATGATTTCTTTCTTTACCACCTCTTGCATGGAATGGTTTAACCTTCTTTGATGTTCCATGCTTAGTTTGCTCTCTTGCTCCAATTGTATCATGTGCTCACATATTCCGGCGGGAATCCCTCGGATGTCCGCTATTTTCCAATGTGCTCCCTCAGGACATTCAACAAGTGTTCTACCTGCACATCATTCAACAAAGAAGAAACGATTACTGGTAGAGTTTCATTAGAGCCAAGAATTTATACCACAAGTGTGGTGGAAGTGGCTTGAGCTCAAGTTGTGGCGGCTCAATAATTGAAGGCTTGGCGGGAGGAGTGACTCTATTCTCTAAGTCAAGAGGAAGTTTCTTTGGTGCATAAGTGTAGGACCTAAGTCCTTCTAATGCATTCACTGATTCTATGTACCCCTCCATGTCTTCACCGTCAAAATTCACCAAAACACCCACCAACGCCTCACCAAGGCATTGTTCTTCCATCTTCATCTCGATTGCATCTTCTACCTCATCAACAACACCAATGGAGGAGATGCTTTCATATGGATGTGGCAAATTCATACCCTTACTCGCTTGAAAGGTAACCTCTTCGTCATTAACTCGGAACTTGATCTCATTTCGTTCTGAATCCATAAGTGCTCTTTCGGTAGCAAGAAATGGTCTCCCTAAAATGATAAGGATTTATTTTTCAACATCACAATCAAGGATCACAAAGTCGGCAGGAAGGAGGAACTTTCCCACTTTCATAAGAACATCATCAACAATCCCCACCGGTCTCTTTATTGAGAGATCGGCTATTTGCAACCTCATACTTGTAGGCCTCAACATACCTAACCCTGCTTGCTTGTAAATAGAAATAGGCATTAGATTGGTGCTATCCCCATTATCATAAAGAGCTCTTGAATAATTGTACAACATAATAGTGCATGGAATGGTAAAAGCTCCCGGGTGTTCTTTCTTTTCAACGTTGGTTGTTGCAATGAAGGAACTAAACTGGTGAGTTACATTCACCACTTCATTCTTGGTGGTTTTCTTCTTGGTGATCAAGTCTTTCAAATACATAGAAAAACCCGACATCTCTTGAAATGCTTCCACAAATGGAATATTCATCGATAATTGCTTGAGAATATCATAGAACTTTTCGAGTTTGATATCATCAACCTTCCTAGCAAGTCTTTGAGGAAAAGGAGGAAGAGGTCTAGAAATTGATGCTAGAGTTTTTAGTGTCTCTTTCACCTTTTCCTTAACCTCTTCCGAGTTCACTTTTTCAGCTTCAACAACAATTGGCACCTCAACTTGTGCCTCAACTTCTTATTCGGAATCTTCCACTTCGACCACTTGATCATTCTCTCCGTAAAGTATTCTCCCAATCCGAGTTGTGATTGGCATACAATGAGAAGTTGGACTGCTCCCACTACCTTTTGGGTTTGCAATTGTGACACTTGGGAGTGTGCCCCTTTGCTTCGGATTTTGCTCTCTTGAGAGATCTCTCATTTGCATCTCTAACTTTTGAATAGATGCGGTATGAGAACCCACAAGCTCGGTCACATTCCTCATTAAAGTGTTAGATGTTTCTTGATTTTGCAATACTCGTTCAAGCATGTTTTCCAACTGGGAATCACTTGAAGAACTTTCCTTCCAATGCGGAGAGTTGGAATATTGCCCCTTTGGTGGAACATAGGGGTTTGAACTCCGATTTGAAAAGTTGTTGTTGTTGTTACTCCAATTCCCTTGATTTGAACTACCTTAGTCATTTTGCCATTGTTAGTTTCCTTGCCCTTTCGGGTTAGGCCTCCATTGGTTTTGTTGTCCTGAACCTTGGTAGGGTTGCCTTTGGTAACCTCCCTGATAGTTGTTGACATAATTTTCTTCCTCGTAATCCTCATTTGATGTGGGTTGAACATCTTCCACCACGTTCACCTTTTTTGTTTGACTTTCAGTAAACATCTTTGTCAACACATTGATATTGGTGGCAAGCCCGGTAATTACTTGATCTCTTTCTTGGTTCTCTTTAATCATGTTGGTCAAGGAAGGAGTACCATATGCAATTCCACTCGTGGTGTCCTTTGAGTGCCAAACTTAGTCATGTTTTGCCACTTTATCAAGGATTTGTGTGATCCTCGCAAATGTTTTATCCATAAAAGATCCATCAGCTGCATTTTTGGCTATAGATTGATTCATAGGATCCAAGCCCATGTAAATTTATCTAACAAGATAGATTCCGAAAAATCATAATTCGGCGACCTCACTAAATATAGCTTGAATCGATCACATGCCTCATGTAGATGTTCTCCTGGTAATTGCTTGTGAAAGAAAATTTTATCCCGGAGCTTAGACTTTTTGCTTTGCGGGAACCATTTAGCTAGGAAATCTCGGACGAGTTCAAGCCAAGAATGAATGGAATTTGGTAGTAGATTTTGGATCCATTTCCTTGCCTCTCTAGCCAGTGAGTACTTGAACATCCTCAGTCTTAGGGAATCATCTGAAACGTTGTTCTGTTTGTGCATCACACACATACCCAAGAAGTTTCTAAGATGTTGTGTCGGATCATCATCGGTGGAATTTCTGAAAGATCCCTCTGCTTTGAGTATTAGGATTAAACCGTGTTCCACCTTGAAAGTGGCTGCATCAACTCTTGGAGGAACAATGGCATTTGTATCTTCAATGTACTCATCTATATCCGCAAAAGGGATTCTTTTCTTTGTCATACTCGGACATGTTTTCCTAGTAACACCAAGCAAAGAAAGCAAAGTGTGATGGAATAGAAGAAGAGTAAAGTAAAGCACACACTACATAGTAATTTCAAAACCGTATTCCCCGGCAACGGCATCAAAATTTGATACGCTCAGATTATACTTAAATAAATAGTGTAAGGCGGTCGGTGTCAAATATAATAACCCAACAAGGTTGGGGTCGAATACCACAGGGAATAGGTGTGAAAAGGTTACTTAAATAGTGTGAAACTTGATTTAAGTCATAATTCTATTCCTTTAGCTTAAAAAGAGAATGATATAAATGTGAATTAACAAGAGAACTAATTTGTTGTGAGAATGTAATTAATTTGATTAAGGAAACCAAGGTTGTGTCCCCATCAATGAAATGTATTACTATCGGTGTTAATATGATATATTTCTAATGGGAGGTCCTTTGATATGCAAATGGTTTCTAAATGACTACTCAATATTTCCCAATAGTTGAGTAGTATTTTCTCTTTATGATTTTTCCAAATATAAAAGAGTTGCAATTAAAAATAACCAATTTATGTCAAGTAGAACCCACTTATTCCTAAGCGATTCTATTTAACAAGGCTTAAAGTCTTGAGTTCTTGATATTCACTTCTATCAAACCCTAACCCACTTTTCCAAGTAAAGATACAATAAAATGGAATGAGTCAATGTTTGCAACCACCAACAATAAATAAAGCATAAAAATGAATAAATATCAACCAACCATTATATATATATATATTCAATGTTAAACACTCATTAACATTACACCTATTTAGGGTCACAACCTTAGTATTTATGTCACGCCCCGAACTTGGGGGGCGAGACCGACACCTAGTGCCTCACCTATCCTTGCGTACCAACTTGCAACTAAGGGACTCTGAACATATGATGTCATACTTTTGGCCATGGGCCACATTGCAAGACGACACCGAATGCTGACTAAATATCAATATAAAACTTGGCCGACAAGGCCGTCATATTTATTATAACTGGCAAACAAACCAAATATACATACAAGGCCTGAAAGCCTAATATACTGCACTAACTGACGAGATACGTCTACAAGCCTCTACTAATGAATATACTATGATTGGAACGCCTCTTCGACCTACTCATGACATATATACATATATATACAAGATATACATAAGGCTCTAGACTCAAAAACTCCGAAAGTCATGGAGCTTACCGATCAAGATGAACTCGGAAAACACTTATTGAATAGGCCTACTCGTCTATCTGTCTGACCTGCACACATGAAATGCAGTGCCCCAAGGAAAGGTATGTGAGTAGGAAATAATGTATTGAGTATATAAGGAAATATACTGAAAGCTAAAACTGAACTGGTAATATAATGACTGCAAGTAGCTGGAAGTCAAAGATAATCTGAAGATATGCTTACCTGCTGATACTGACTCAATTCTCTCAATATAGTAAGTAAAATAGATGTCCGGCCCTATAAGGCTCGGTATATATATATATATATAACTGCTCTTCCATAGTAGGCTCGCTCATAAGCGCTCGGCCATACTAGGCTCTGTATCTCGACCAACTGGGCTTGCTCATATGCGCTCGGCCACAGTAGGATCAGTATATATAACTGCTCTGCCGTAGTAGGCTCGCTCATATGCGCTCGGCCATACTAGGCTCTATATCTCGACCAACTGGGCTCGCTCATATGTGCTAGGCCACAGTAGGATCGTCGTATAACTTACCATCTGATCAGAGGTTGCCCAATAGGGGCTTGCCCATTGATTATAGCTCGATGGTAATGAAAATACTTTTAATACTATATATGTGTAACTTCTCTACTCTCTTGACTGGAAGAATGAAATACTCAAATGAATATGAAGTCCCGATAAAGAGAATATTATAACGTGCGAGACTAGAGACATATATGTAAATTTCGGGATATGAATGTAATGACGAGATCATGCCAAATGAAAGAAGAGCTTAGCCTTAACATACCTGTTTATGCGAAATGTGAACGAAATTACACCTAAATACCTTAACAAATTTGTTCTGCCTTGGATGATTCTGAACCAACGAAAGGACTTTAAATTTTTTAAGCTTGCTCCAACGTTTTGAAGCTTCTGTTTCCTAGTACTTCGTTTCAACCCAAAATAATTAAATGAAACTTAAAGGTTTTTTAAAAGATGTTGAGGGCGGATTCTTGGAATAGACTTTTCTAAGTCTTTCTAAGATTTTAATCTAAAGCCTTACGTTTCTGATTCTTGCTTTTGGAAAGAATGACATCTTTAAGTCATTTTTTGGCTCACCTTTCGACTTGGCAGATCATTTGGTTAATTAGCCAATTTTTGTTTAAGCCTAGGTGGCAAATAAGTGACTACTTAGTCACCTCTTAACTTAGTGGCTTCTTGCCACGTGGTTGGGGATAACTATTAGGGTTTTTTTTCCGCTTATTAGCTAACCGGGTAATGTCCTGTTACCCGGTAATTAATCAATTACCCGCATAATTTAAAAACTATCTCAAGTTACTTAAAATTCTACTTATTTTTAATATACTCTATATATTATACTACCGTGGTCATATGGTACCTTGTAAGATACTAGCCCATAAATATCGGGTATTATCGCTCGATCCGTATTTTATTCGAAATTGACCACTTTCAACGAAACTCATTTTCTTTAATCCATGTACCCTCTTATTCTTCATAACACTCATTTATTGCTTGCTATAAATAGCGTAAGTACGTTAACGTCGAGATGATCTCATCCCCGAGTCTTACATCGGTTAACTGAAAATGAAATTTTAACGTACAATACTTCAGGGTGCAACATCTAACTTAATACTGCGAAATGTGACATCACCGTAATTAATACTGCGGGATGTGACATCTCACTTCCGGGTTCTCATTAATTTATTTATGGCATATTTTCATGTACAAAAATATAGGGTGTAACATCATTCCCCCCTTTGGAACATTCGTCCTCGCATGTTGATTGGTGCGCTTATTGTTCTTATATCCCATAACTCTTGCGAATACTTTAGTAGTCCTCTTGCCATCTAGGCAACTGTTCTATGAATAAGACCAAAGGCCAGGGCATTCCCCCCTTTAGGCTTCTTTCCCACGTCGTGACTTGTGATCGAATTCCTTTCAATCTCGTAACTCTTGCTACCTTCGATCATGCAGCTTCTATGATACTTACCTTGTAAGTGTGCCTATGAGACTCTCCTCTCCTTTTTCCTCCAGTTTTTAGCCAAATCCTGAAGTTCTTCGCTTGGTATTTTGTCGAACTTACAAATATTGCTATATCTTATTTTATAGACGTGGTTATCCATTTGTATGACTTTACTGCATCTACATAGGTCATACTATGCCATAACTCTTACTTTGATTTATCGTTATTGAGGTCTGCTACCAAATCCCATCTTACTCTCATTACTTCTTCCATATGTATAAATTTAAGTCCATTGATGCTTCCTCATTACTGTTCATCTTTAGAATGACGGCCTAATCGTATCTCATACTTTGTAACTTATGTCCATGCATTGTTGATTCACCTCAATATTGATCTACAATATACCATTGCTAACTTAACCTTTTATGTAATATTGCTGCTAGGATTCATGTTTTATCAGGGAACGTCTGAAATGATTAGATTGATCCACCGGGGGTGATACCCTGCTTTCATAACCATACCTCACATCATCCCAATACGATTCACCTTGTGTGGGTGTCACACCTCCTTTTTTCCTACATCCCGGAAAGGGTATAAGGGAGTTTTTTCCAACTTAAAGTGACAATCGAAACGAGATTCATTTATTATTAAAAATTCAGAGTCGCCACTTGGGATAATTTATGGTGTCCCAAGTCACCGGTTCAAATCCCGAATCGAGGAAAAGATTGA